ACAACCGGAACCTGGTCTACCTAAGACAACCGTGACTTCACCGGGTCTCATGATAGCGTCCATGCTCTTCAAGATATCAAAGTAACGAGATGGATCATCCTTTTGTGCGTTTCTGATTGCCTCGCCTCCTAATTTGTATAATGCGTTAGTTACAGTAGGCTGATAATCAGAGTCTGCAGCAACACCAGAGGCCCTCAAGTTTCTATAAGCAATTCCCAAAGACGATGGCTTGTAATAGTTAGGATCGGAGTCGTGCAACTTTCTCAAATTCTTGACCCAAAATTTAGCGTTGAAATTATCGCTATCCGGATTTAAGCTCTCCTCAATCTCATTATTGTACGGCTCAACACCTGGTACTTGAGACATATGTGATAAATAACGAATCAAATCTTCGCTATCTTTAGTCTTATTAGTTCTTTGTCTACTTATGTTAGACATTGTTCTTGCCAACTCCTTAATATCATCAGTTGCATCATCGAACCCTTCATATTTATGTATTGAGCTTTGGTCCGCAGAGGGTACGAACTCAGTTACTGAGTTCGAATCCTCATTCTTGTACTTATGTTCTACTGAATTAGATGTACTCGACATTTCACTAATTAACAGTAACCAATTTTTATAATTTCAATTGCCAAATATTTTTGAATGATTCTTCCACATATATATACCCCCATCAAATGCAAGTGCTCCGATTGTTTTGCATAGAAAAATATAAGAAATTTATTTATGACCCGAGATGACAAATTCTATCGTTTCTGGTAATCCCGTATTTGATAACATTGTATTGTTTTTTTTCGGATGCGGAAGAAGCTTTTTCACCGTTTCCGTTAAGATATTTGGCAGGTGTTAATAATAAAAGCTAGCAAGTTCGCGGAACACGGGGTATTTTGGAAGTCGTTCCGTTATAAAGATACGGAACGGACATATCTTTCATCCGTAATCTTAAACTGGGCCATGCATGCGGTGAGTTCTTTCTGCTTTAGGGTTCGGCCGACGGCATTCATTACTGAGGCGATCTTAAATCCTGGCACAGTTTATGTGCGAGGTTGTTTGTTGATCCCAAAGACTTAAACGACACGGCTGTAGGAGATAGAGACAGTCCGTACACCGAATTCTTCAGATAGCCAATTATCGTATATGTTTGACAAGCGGAACCAGCCATCGAATTAAACGACGTTTTCGTACATATGTTGCATCCCGATCAATTGTACGAAAACCGTTATGGTTACAGTTTATTGCTGGAGTGTTTTGTGTGTGTAAATTGACAAAGCTAGTCGGGGTTAGCTAGGTATGTTGGTCGTGGTAGCATTGGACGTATACGAGAAATGGTCGGAAAAAGCGATGAGGCTTGGTCGCGGAACGCAAGCGAAATTTGCTATTTTCTATCAATAACATATATTAAAAAGGCAGCATTAACTGTGTAAACTATTTTTTATAAATATTTGTTTAAAAATTATGGAAATTGACATATTCTATTATTATATTTCTAGTGTTGCAACATATTTTCAGTTTCTTTACTTGTGATTTTGTTGCCAATTTCTTGCCGGTGCTTATTTCTTTTTTTCTCTATTTCCTTTTGGCACACGGGCAAGCCAGTAGAGGAAAACTGTAAGCATAATATTGAAGGCAATGTAACAAATGAAAATACCCCAATTTCTCCATCTTTCACTGTAGTAGGAGTTGAAAGTTGCCAACCAGTCGTTGGTGGAATTCATGGTGCAATACTCACATTGTGAGGTGGCATTTGCATCCATTAGGTAGCCACCAGCTTTAGCGATGTAGTCAGACATGTAGTTACCGCACGTATTACCAGGTGTTGGCTCGAACTTCAACAATTCTGTACTAGAACATGTCAAATCGTTGTTGGCTAAGCCTGTAGACATCATCCCCTGAAGGAGGTATGTGAGTGGTGAGACTCTATACATGAACACCCAAAAGCCTGGCATTGCATCTGGAGACATTAAGACACCACAGAAATGCAAGCACATAGTAAAGAAATTAACTGCTAAGTTTGCAGCATTATCTGGGAGTTCGTTAAATGAGATACACACATGAGCCATCGTAGACGTGTAAACATAAAAGGCAGTGATAAATAACCACATGGTGACAGCACGGCCATCGACAGTGTTAGTAGGTACTGCATTTTCGTAAAATCCAACAGGATAGTACCAGCATAAAAATGCAATGGTTCCTGCAAACACCTGATATGGAATTTCAGACGTTATTTGCGCTGTGATGAAGGCAAACCAACTAAATGTTTTAGATGGCGATTCTCTAACCTCGTATACATCTCTTTGCTTGATGAAACCGGGTAAAATCTGTTGAACTAAAGTGTTGAATGGAACCAAAAACATAAACATAGCAAACATCTGATTCTGTAATCCTTGCATTGATCTATCAGCCTTAAAAAATGAAAAACCATTGAACAAAGCAGAAGACACAACTAAGAATATCTTAGAATATATATAAACTGGAGATCTCCAGTTTTGTTCAAAAATTCTCCTGGTGACGATGAAATACTGCTTCCAAACTGGTGCAGCATACGATTTTCTTGCTTCTGGAGATTCATCTCTAGGCAAGCTAACTAATTCTCGTTCCATCTTGTCTAATTCTGCTTGCATATCTTGGTGTTCTGAAGAATTTTTCCAGACTTCATGATAATCTTGATTAGCATGACTACCTGGTGCAGCACCAACAACTTGTAACATCCATTCGGCTGGATTGGCCTCTTCTGGACAGTGGTGTGCTCCATACTTTTCAAAGTAATTGATCAAAGTCAGACAGTTCTCTCCTAAATCACCAAAGTAAACAGTCTTACCACCTTTTTGTAAAAATAGTAATCTGTCAAAATCTT